AGGAACCCCACTCAAGCAGAAGAGAGCCATACGAGCAGTGCATCCTTTTCGTTCTAAAGCATGATTCAGACTACATCTTTTGTCCTATGTAGCAGGAGCTGGCCTGCACTGGAGATGGTGCAGAACTGAAGGTAGAAGATACTATTCACAGGAAAAGACTCAAAGGATGGGACTTGAGAAAGATATATAATAGAATAAGAATAACAGAAATAAATCACCCACCACATACTGGTTAGAGTTTTGGATGCTAGAGACCACATGAGTACTTCTCTTGTAACTGGGGTCCTCATTTACTGCATAAACCAGGCATGATGAACATCAGCTTGTGTATAGTTTCAGCTCTTGGGAGATAGAGACCGATTGATCCAACGTTCAAGGTCACCCTTGAGTACATGGAGGGTTCCAAGCCATTCTGAACACCTACATTCTGATCCTTGGTGTAGTATATTACACTAAAGTGATTGTTGCTGAACACTGTGAATCTAGGCCTTCTCTGCACATCAGCTTTGCATTAGCTTGAGTACTTGACCCCAGGAGAGAAACGTAAGGAATGTGTAAGGTAGGGTAACTCAGGACAGTGGGAATAGTCATAACATAAAGACAGTTCTGGAAATACTCTGTATTCACCTCTGTAAAACCTGTCTCTTGCTGTCATAAGTTTTCTTCCTCCCAATAGAAAGTATGAAATCCGTAAGCCCTGCCTTTCACTCTGCAGTATAATGTGAGGTCACTAGGATCCTTTAGCAGGAGATTCTCTCCTCTTTGCTCCGAACATCTTTCCACCATATTTACCTGCTCTCATCTGCTACAGTCACAATAAACTATGTCACATCCGAACACTGGCTATACTGGAATTCCACAGATTTCCTATGCTAGGGGAAGACACTGAGTTTTTCAAACGTTTACAAAAGTTTCTTGGGAAACAAAACAGACTACTCACTTGAGCCCAACCAGGGGTTTAGCTATGCTTTCCAGTGACACTGTTTGCCACCTCATGTGATCAAACCATGCAAACATGACAATCAACTGTGTCAAAAGTCTATCACAATATGTATAGAGTTTTCTAGCAAGCTCCTCACAGAGCAGCATCTGATTGCTTTGCTTCCAATTCTCTCTCAGCCTCACCCATCACCCTGAGTTCTGCTAGTTCCCTCATCCAAGTTGTCTCTGTGTGGTAAGCAGACCCGGAGATTCTCATGTACAAAAATCCATTTGAGTGAAAACGGATCAAGGATGTAATTAATAAGGGTGAAAATATTTCTGACCAAGATTCCTTAGCTCAGTGATCATCCTGTGATTCTTAGCAGAAATAGTTTAATTTAAAGGAAAGGAAATCTATGCTAGGCAGAGCTTCTTGAAAGGAGAAAGAGTAGATATCGGCACCATTGCTAGTGTCTGTAATTGAAAATTTCGTGAGTGACACTTTGAGGGTCAGTGGATAAAGAAATTCTTAAAGAGCAGGCTGTGCTGGCCCATAAAGAATGAGAGAGGGAGGGAGGGAGGGAGGGAGGGAGGGAGGGAGGAAGAGAAAGAGAGAGAGAGAGGTAGAGGTTGAGATAGAGACAGACAGAGACAAACAGAAAGACAGAGAGAGAATGCATCTGCTACTTTTACCACACAACATCAGCTAACAAGAAACAAATTCAAAATGCAGACATAGTCAATATTAAGATTCAATCAATGCCAAGACAATATTACATGTTTCGTGTTTTAAACATCAATAACACTGACTCAAAATGGCAGTGGGACATACTAATTAATTTTTTTATAAATTTGAGCCATAGATTGCTTTAAGTCAATAAATGCTACACAGATAAATATTTTAGATGAAGTTGCTAGGGCCTTGGATGACTAGAATAACCGTGGCTTTGTGATGGTTAACTTCATGTCAACTTACAGGATTTAGAATTGCCTAAGAGAGACATCTCTATGACAGGCATCTACAGAGCTTAAACCAAGGGAAAAGAGCTACCCCAGTGCGAGTGGTTCTAGGCCACAGGCCAGAGTCCCAGAGTAAATATAAACAGAAAAAGAAGAGACAGAGAGAAAAAGAAAAGGAAGCCGAGTACCAGAGCGCATCTCTTCTGCCTTCTGTCTGTGAGAACGCATGTAGAGCCCAGAGACTGAGGGTGTCTTCCTCAACTGCTCTCCACTGAAGGGTCTTTCACTGAACCTGGATGTCCCTGATTGGACTAGACTGATCCACAAGCCCCAGGGTCACTCCATCTCCACATCATCAGATCTAAAATAGCAGATGGTGCTTCTACATCTGACTTTGTGAGTTCTAGGGATCCCAACTCAGGTCCTCTTGTATGTGCAGCAAGCACGACACCAACTAAGCCTTCCAGAATGTATTTTTTTTTTGAACCTAAGGAAAAACTCTGCAGTTGGGTCCTTTATTTCTTTTATACACTAGGCCATGAATTCGTATGGAATGGGCTCCAGCAGCTCAGGCTCTTTCCCATTAGTCCTCACAAAGTGTGCTTCTCTGGGTGGTGCAGGCTGGCGCTTCAGCTGAACCCAGGTGCCCTTCTCTTTGGCTTCCTTTTTCTTCTGATCGTTCTCCTTCACCCGCTTCAGGAAGCTGTCTCTGCTCTTCGAGTGTTTAATGTGCTCAATCCGCACATTGATCCTCTTGGACAGAATCTTGCCCTTAACTTGCTTGTTTACAATGATGCCCACGGCATGCTGGGTGACATTGTAGACTCTTCCGGTTTTGCCGTGGTAACACTTATGGGGCATTCCTTTTTGAACAGTACCCATTCCCTTGATGTCTACAATATCACCCTTCTTATAGATTCGCATGTATGTGGCCAAAGGAACAACTCCATGTTTCCTAAAAGGCCTAGAGAACATATACCGAGTGCCTCTCCTCTTTCCCTTTGTGTTGGTCATTTTGGCGAGTTAACTGGAAGATGGCTGCCTAGGCCGACCAGAATGTATTTTTTTAAGAGCATAAAATAAGTACAATAACTTTCCATATCTAATTTAGATCATTGTGGGATTCAGTGAAGAAATTGTGATGGTTAATCTTGTCAGCTTTACAAGATTTAGAGTGTGTTAGGAAATAATCCTGTAGGCGTGTCTGGAAAGGTGTTTCTAGAGAGGCTTAACTGAGGAGGGAAGACCCTCGCTGAATGCGGGGAGTCCATTGCATGGACTGGGATGTCGGAATAAGAAGGACTAAGCAACTCTTCATTCCTCCTGACTCGTCGTTGCAATTTGCCGCTGCCTCACATTCCCGCCTTCTGCGCCATGGTCGACTGTACCCTCAAACCATGACTCAAATCAAAGCTTTTATTCTCTGAGTTGCTGCTGTTGCCAAATATTTTGTTACAGCAATGAGAAAAGTCACTAATACAGCCTGGTGGTGAAATACAGACCTTTATAAGCTCTCAAACCAGTGAACCTCTCACCGTCCTCTGAAACCGGAAGCCAAACTGGATCCTGCATCCTTATCCTCAAAGTACCTTTCCAAGCTGAAGGCCGACTCTAAAATCTCCCACACATTCTCCTCTGCAACATATTAACATTGCTTTCTCCGTCCCTCGGCTTCCTACTCCCGCCCCTTCACTCCTAATGAGCCTCTTTCATCCAGCCGACTCCACAGTGCCTTTAAGAGTGAAACGTGTCTTCAGTAAGTTTAATATCACTCGTGCCAGGTTTTTTTTTCCTGTTAGAGAACTCTTAAGAAATACGCGCAGGAAAAAAAATGGACTAATCAGACGAAGAACTTAGAATTCAATGGCCTTGGATTCAGAAGTCCTGAGATCCACATCTGGTCTGGCTATTTGTTACTACGCTGTCTATCCTCAATTCCGGGCTGCTTGTTTAGTAAGCTAAAATTCAAGGCCAACAAAACTCTTGTCAGATTTATCTGCAGCTTGTTCCAGGCAAGATTCGAGCCCTTCCCACCCAGCTCCCACACACAACCTCCCCTCCCACCCCTACACACCCGGTGCCTAGTGGGTGAACTGGAACCACTGTGGATACGCCTTGGGAATTTGTTCTAAGTTGAAAACATTTCCACCTGATTTCTTAGGCAACCCACACGCCAGGAGCTGCTCTGGGTTCTCTGCCCTCTAAGTGGCAAGGAAGGATCCAGGACGTGGGAGGCTTGCAGCACTGGCCACTGGCATAGTCTTGGACTCTATTGGAATAGGGATTCCCCCATCCTCCAGACCTTCTGAATGTGCGTAGGCAAACAACCCGCAGATCCTCTTCAGGAGCAAGGCTATTTACAACCTACATACCTGGGCCCCACCTCTCGAATCTCCGTGTTTACTTTGGAGTCCGGCCAGGGCAAAGGGCTCCTACAAGCTCCTCAAGTTCTTACTGTACATAAGATCAAAGTGAAAGGTGTCCCCCAAATTGAGGGTTATGCAATCACCTGAGTTAAACTTGACCTTTGTGGGATGTCCGGGGACCCTAAGGCAATTCCCCATAGACTGCTTTCTAAGGGACAATGGGCTAAGGAGACAACCTCAGTCACAGAACTTTTGGTCACCAGCCCTGATTTGCGTAGCTCCAGCTCCTTGCCCTGCAGCTGGCAGCCACAGTAGCCCCGACCCCGCCCCACCCTTCTCGCTCCGCCCAACCCTGCCCGTTGGCTCCGCCCCCGTGACGTGCCGCTGCAGTCGCGAACATGCGCACTGAGCCCCGCGCGCTGCTCCGCCTCGGCGCTGTCATTCTCCGCGGCGCGGCGGCCAGTGCGGACTGCGGTTCCCGCCCGGCGCGCGGGTGCTGTGACTGCTCCTCCGGGGCGGACTGGTGGCTCTGCAGCACTCCGGAGCCTCTCGTGCGGGAACTCCGTGGTGTCGCATTCCCTCAGAGCGGGAGACACGCACCTGGAGCTCCGAGCACAGATCTCAAGGGCTGGCGGCCACGACGGCGTTTGCTCGGGTCCCCGGTGCAGTCCGAGTCTCCGCGACCGCACGGTGCGCCCGCGAGAGTGCACCTCCCCCGGCACGGCGGAGCCGCGGCGACGAGGACCAGGCGGGTCCTGCGCCCGCTACCACCGGCCACCGCGGGCCGGCCCGGCTGTGTGTGGAGGAGTTGCAGCGCTTCTTAGCGCACTGAAGCCCCAGAAGACCTCTGCCTTCTGCGAACCAGTAAGTTGACTGTAGTTTCTGAAGTTGCAGGCAGCGTGGGAAGGACAGGTTCGTTTTATTCCTGCTGTGCCAGACCGAGGTGGCACCTCCTGTTAGTCAGGCTGCAACTGGAGGAAGGCAAGGCGTACTGGACTGCAGAGGAGGGGGCATGCCATTCGAGGACTCAAGGCTGGAGTCCAAGGCTGGCTCCTGCCTCTCCCGAATGTGCCAGTTGGAAATGTGTTAGTGGAGACAGGTGCTCCGAGGGCATTTGGCCCGCCGCTAATTGCACATTCTGAGCTCCTTGATTCAGCGCCGCCGCCGTGGGGTCAGGGACGTCCGCCACCTCCATCCTAGGAGGCTCTGCTGACATCCTCTCAGAGGACTGGCACAGAGATGAGAAGCTGAGACATTGCTGCTCAGGCCTGCAGGCTTTCTGTGTATCCCACTTCGCTCTTCCCTTAGGCAGAAGTTGGCAACCTCCAGTAATTGGAGCCTACTCCTTTAGGGAAAAACAACTTATGTGTCAACTGAGTGTTTTGTGCTCCAAGGCAGAGAAAATGAGAAAAGCGCTCTGTGCGTTTTAATTCATATGCTTTAAGAATGTGGGCAAGTCTCAAAGAAACAGGCTTCAGAGGATGGCTGAGTTGTCCTGCGTCGCTTATGTAAGCCTCCTGGCTGGGTAACTTTGCATCTGCAGGGGCTGCAGCTGTGCCTCCAGTCACTCCATTTGTTTCAAGTCCAGCTTGAACCATGTTTAATAAAAATGTTGACATGATATAGCGGTTTGCAGTCAGAAACAGGGCAGTCTTTAAATAAGGCTGTCTTCTAATAGGGAACATGGGAGGAAGAACTTGGTGTATTTTTTCAAGGCAGTTCAAGGAATTAGATACATAAATCATGCTTTAAAATACCATACATTGTACAGAGAGATGCACAGAACCCTCTTTAGAACACATCCTCTTTTGTTTTAGGAAAAGTGGAGATTGTTCATACCAGATAATTGTTGAGTCTGGAAGTTAAGTGCACTGATGGGCTTAATTATCCTAGTAAACAAAGAGCATGATTTATAGTAGCTGCAGTGGCTACTTTGAAGGGTAGAAATCTTTAACCTTTCCTTCTCAGCTGCCCCTAGAGATTCCTTTCAAGCAGAGGAATGGATTAATGCCATTGATGTTTAATACTTGAGTTGATTAAATTTGTAAAAGGAATTCTTTGAAATACCATACAGCCCTGCTGTGTGGCTGACAGGTAGTGACTGTTATAAAGATAGTGTTTAGAGGAGCAGCTTTGCATTAACCAACTAGCCCACATTGAGGCTGCCTGTGGTATGCACACATCCATGGAAAGAAATATGCACAGAGGAAAAATATATATGAATTTGGATCAGAAGTAAAAGCTCACAGATATGAGCCAATGTGAGATTTATTTATGTGACCTTTAGAAAGAGGCATGTATGGGTCATAGTGCTTCAGTGGATATAACACTAGCTAGTTACAGGCACCTGGTTCAAACATAGTTTTTATTTTAAGGATTATAAGAAAAAAAAAGAAAGGTATTATTTTAAAGTTGAAAAGCTGGTCATCAGGTTGTAGTTTATAGGAACATCATGTTCTGAAGAAGCCCCTAGAAGAAATCTTGTCCAAGTGTGGGCTTTCAAGGGACCAGGCTGGCGGGACTATTGCTGGCTTTGAATCTGGGCAAGTTAGAGAAATTCTGTGCCTAAGTGTCTCTGTCTGTAAAATGGGTGGGTGTAACTGTATTACCTTCCTTGCTGGGTTGTGTGAGGTTTAAGTGGAATCCAGCATGAGAAGTTACCGAGCTGATGTCAAGTATAGTAGGCTGACTTTGGGGAAAGAATTCCATGTTGTAAAAGGAAATTTGTCTTGGGATAAGCTGTAGACATGAAACAGCTGTTGCTGGAGGTCAATCGAAGGAGTTCACATGTGCACTAGGAGAGAGGGGTAAACACACTGGCCACGGGTTGACATTGGATTTACTGTCTCCAGCAGTGCCTCCCTGAAAGCCTTCCATGGAGGGGGCTTTGTCTTGGTGTTAGAGAGGAAGAAACTGAGGCCGAGTGAGATCCAGTAGTAGAAATTACAGCTGGCAGTTTAAACATGCCTGTTGGAATCTGTGTTCTTTGACCCTGCTGCCTCAACTTGCAAGCGATGTGGGTGGGTTATCCTCTTTCACCATGGGAAGTTTCTGTTTAAAGCTTCAAGTATGCAAACTGCTAAATAACACTCATAGCCCAGTTCCTCGTGACGGGAAGCCACTGTCATCGGCCTCATGGTTGTTAAATGCCAGGCCCTGGTTGCAGACTCCCGTTCAGTGCTGTTGTGAGAGTGATAGCAGGGGGTTTCTGCCCTCAGCTGAAACTGGATTCTGTTACTTCTTCCTTCCCTGTTTATATATTCATAGAGCCAAAGAGAAAAGTTGCTGTAAGTTGATGCTTCATATTGGCAGATGACGATCGCTATTCTTCCTGTGTAGTTACTGTCAGTGGTCCACATAGACAAAAGCAGCTAAAACCAGTCCACATTGTCTTTGAGCATAGGCCAGTGTCAAAGGGGGAACTCCACTCAGTCAGAGAGATGGGCGTTGTGCTTATCTTGGACTCAGTGTTCTGAAATGGAATCATTTATCCATCACAGCTATAGGCACACTTCCTTTAGTCCTAGGTTCAAAGCCATAGGAAACAGTTGTGGGGGATTCCATCTGAGCCATTTTGGTTTGAAATCTCCATGGACTGTTGAGCTTCTTTCTCCTCTGAGTTCTAGGGTGTGGAGTGATTGAGTGGCCATGGCGCTTTGTGGTTTTCTTAGGTTTATCTACATGCCATCATGTTCTGGCCTTTGGTCTTTATCTTTTAGATACTAAAATCTAATTGCTATAGAAAGCTCCTAGGCAGCAGACTATCCTAGGTGAGTCAATGTTTAATGAAATCCTCCTAGCTAATATACCTACCATTAAAAGGTACTCTAAGCTAGATGCTCACTGCTACCTGGCTGGTGTTCAAGGTCTGTCTCTCCTTCCATCTCCCTTTCCTGTCCTTCTCCTCATCACACTCTGTCTCTGTCTCTCTCTGTCTCTCTGTCTCTGTGTGTATGTCTGTGTGTGTGTGTGTGTGTGTGTTGGATCTGTCTGTCTGTCTGTCTGTCTGTCTGTCTCTCCAAAGCTTCTCAACAGTGAGGTTCCAGTAGGGAGCTTCTGAGAGCCTAGAGGCACAATGCCACAACTGCAGTGCCAAAAAGAACCCCTGCCACCACCCGAGTCCTCTCTCTGAACCCCTCTGCTGATGTTTCAGCCCTCACCACCACCAAGTCCTCCCTCTGATCCTGCTGCCACCACTGAGTCCTCCCTCTGATCCCCGCTGCTGATGTTTCAGCCCTCCTTTTCAAAGAATCCGCACATCCTTTGCCTCCGTTAGCAGCTATATTTCAACTGATCCCTGTTCTAGATTTTCTGATCAAATGTCTGCCTGGAAGGAACATGTCTAGAACTAGAGCTAAGCCCGTGAAAGTAATTTGCAGATGGTTCTTTTATTTCCTGTTTGTGTTTTAGTGGATTTTCTGTTGTCACTTTTAAATATACAAGAAATACTCCATACTCCCCCACCCTAAAAACACACACATCGGTTTGCTCTCAGAAGACTCATGTACAACTGCAGACATACTACCTTCATTCACCCAATCTTATATGATTTCTAAAGCTAAGCAGGCTTGAGCTTGTTTAGGACTTGGATGAGAGAAGGCTCAGGCACATAATATGTAAATCAATTTTAATATGGATCTAAGCGAGTGAAGACTGTTTACTCTTCCTTAACCACATTACTTCTTTGGATTTTCACTTTCTATTTGAGGACCTGGGACTTGATTTTGATCTTACCTCATTCAGTGTACGAGGTAACATGGAAGTTACACACATTTATGGCTATACAGACAAGCAACTCATGTGCAATGTGGCATCTGCGCCTCAAGGTCAGGTTTTGCAGAGTTCAGGGATATGGGGTGGATTTGAGAGAAGACAGCCTTGAGCATGATTTATCTGACCACATTTCTCGCCCCTACAGGTCTGTTTTTGGCCAAGAGTTGGAGCAAAGGTTCAGCTAGGAGCCCTCACTGTGTGTTGGCTGTGATGGCAACATTACATAAGGGTTGTCCTCCACCCTGACGCCAACCTTCTGGGCAGTTCCTGTATTGTAGTGCTTTTGCAGAAGGAGAAACTGGCCTAGAAAGGTCATGGGTCCAAAATTACAGGAGTAGGTTTTGTAAGAAAAAGTTGAGCTCAGAACTTTTTGGTATTCCTTATAGAATATCATCCTGCCTCTGGTTTATGAGCTATTGTAATAAGTTCTATAGTAGAGATTGACAGTCTCAGTTCTGTAGTAGAGACGGATGTTCTGAAAGAGAGATGGACGGTCTCAGATCTGTAGTAAAGATGGACGTTCTGAAAGAGAGATGGACGGTCTCAGTTCTGTAGTAGAGACGGAAGGTCTCAGTTCTGTAGTAGAGATGGACGGTCTCAGTTCTGTACTAGGGATGGACGGTCTCAGTTCTGTAGTAGAGACAGTCTCAGTTCTGTACTAGGGATG